CATTTATTCATTCATTCAACAAATGTTTACTAAGCACCTACTGTGTTCCAGACACTCTTCTAGATACTGGAATTATGGTCATATAAACAAAAAGGCAAAAACTCCTGCCCCTGTAAAGTTGACCTTTTGGTGGGAGTTTACAGAAAGTAAAAAATTAAAATAAAAAAGTAAAATATTTGGTGTATTAGATGCTAGTAAATAAGTGCTATGGGTGGGCGGTGGGAGAGCAGAGACTACTGGGATGAGCTAACCTGTAAACAAAGAATTGAAGGTGAAAGAGCACTCCAGCCTGGGCATACAGCCAGTGCAGGTGCGGAAGCAACCTTGGAGCCACAGCTGGACTGAGATAGCAAGTAGCAGGCGATATGGTTAGAGATGGTGGCTCCAAACACTGCCAGGCCTAGTAAGACTTCTGAGCCCGTAGCTTCTAGGCTGAAGGAGGTAGGAGCCACTGAAGGGAGTTAAGCAGGAGAACAGGATCCCTCTGGCTGCTGGTTTGGAACTAGACTGTGGGGGTCAAGGAGGGAAGCAGGGAGAGCAGTGAGGAGGTAATGTTCAAATCCAGAAGTGAGCCAATGACTCCAGCCAGAGGTAGTGAGGAAGGCTGCAAGAGAACCTGCTGGGATCAGATGTGGGATGAGAGAGAAAGAGGGGTTCAAGGATGATGCAGGCATGGTCTTCTGAAGACAGGGCTGATGCCATTCACTGAGATTGGCAGAGCTGGGGGAAGAGCGTCGCAAGTTCCATTTGGGACTGCATAAGTTGAAGATACCCAGGTGGAAATATCAGTTCCTAAAAGCTGAGTCCATAAGTGGAAAGATTTTTCATCCACCAACATGGTTCAAGGCCAGGGAACCCCAAGGCTCTCTCACAAATAAAGCTGGTCCAAGCCCTTTGTTAGTTTCTGACAAACAGGCCAGCCATGGCTTCCTTCTGCAAGGCCCAAGGGCAACCCAGGGACCCCGTATTAGGCCTTGCCCTGTCCTGTTCTCTCAAAGGTTCCCCTTTTCTCCTTTCAAAGCCATTTACCTTATTACCTTATCACGCTGCCATACTGGGCCTCAGAGTCAACCTGTGTGAAGTGAGGTGAGTGGAGGGGAGGCCCCATTAGAGTTCAAGGGTCCTTTTGAGCTCTAATAGTCCACAGGGAAGGGAGGGAGCAAAATAACTGGAAGGAGTGCTGGACAAAGAAGGGAAGAAGGGAGGAAGGCAAAGTGATGAGCCTGAAAACCAATGGTGTACTTGGAGGGTGGGAAAAATTTTTGGCTCTTTATATAGTGTTGTGAGGCCATGGGGAGCTATTAAGACAGGGATCAGACTGACTCCAAGGCCAAACCTTACCCTAACAGGGATTTCTAACAGTTTCTAAGATATTCCCCCTTCTCAAGTCCATTGACAGCTAATTCAAATATTCAAGGGTTTCCTGAGTTGGAGGGTATCTCCAAAGCAAACAGCACCAAGATCAAATATTAACTAGAGAATTCTAGTTGGTGTCAACTGCTCACAATTAGTGAGTGCTAACTACATAACAAGCAGCAACATTCTCAGTTCATGTCAAGAATTGGCTTGTCTATTCCTCACATTACCACTATTCACTTGGTACTACTGGGTTGGCCAAAAAATTCAGCTGGTTTTTTCCATAAGATGCCTCTAAGTAATGCTTAGTTGTCTTTAACTTCATTTGAAACAATTTTGTTAGATTATATTGGGACAGCTGTCACATCAGCGTGCATTTTAAAAAAAACATCAAAATTGGTGACTTTTTGTATAGTCATTTTAATAATGAAGATGGAAGAAAATATGCAACATTTTCAGCATATTATGTTTTATTATTTCAAGAAAAGTAAAAACTGCAACTGAAATGCAAAAAAAAAGATTTGTGCAGTGTATGGAGATGGTGCTATGACTGATCAAACATGTCAGAAGTGGTTTGCGAAGTTTCGTGCTGGAGATTTCTCACTGGACGATGCTCCACGATCAGGTAGACCCACTGAAGTTGACGGCGATCAAATCGAGACATTGAGAACAATCAACATTATACTATGCGGGAGAGAGCTGACATACTCAAAATATGCAAACCAATCAAGTTCTTGGTGAAAATGAAAAATGTGTCTTTATTTTATGGAAAAGACTAAATGACCTTTTTGGCCAACCCAGTACGTTATCACTCCCATTTTCTATGAGGGGAAACTGACCCATGGAAGGCGGGGAGCAACTCACATAAGCTGCAGAGCCAGGTGAATTGAACCCAAGGAATGCAAGCACTCACTCTGAGCCACCACACTACACTGCTTACTGATTTGTTTTATCTACTTTTCTATACTCTTCAATTTTTCTACACTGGCCATGCAACCTATTAATTTAAAAGAATTGTTTCTAATTAATTTGCAAGCAGAAGCCCAGGCCCATTTTCTCAGCCATCATTCAAATATCGGCCAAAGAACAGACCCTCCTACCAGCCCACACCCCACCCCAAACACCCCCAAATGATAAAAGCCAGCCAAATAATTGTGTACTCAGCCACTACTTTTCCCTTTAGATAACGGAGTTCCCTTTCTTTCACCCCAGAAAATTTGCCTGAGTGAAGACAGTATGTCAGTGGAATCCTCACCATGGGCCATTTCCACACTCTGGTTTTTCTGAAAATTTCCTGGGGCTCAGAGGCAGGCACTGGCCCAGGAACAAAGCTCTAATAATAGTGTCACCTGGACTAGTCACCTTGATTTCTAAATACTTGCCCTTGATCAGGGGAGGAACTAGACATGAGTAAATGGGTGACTCAATCCCATCACCACCCCATGAATGAAAAGTGGGTCCAAAGGAAGGACAAGCAACTCAAAACACACAACTTCATCTTTGGAGAGAATAATAATAACGATTGTTTAACTCTGTGCAGGGCACAGGCTGAGCCACTTACATAAATGAACTCATGTACTTCTCCCAACCCTAGGAGGTTGGGAATTTTTTGGCCCCTGCCCCCATTTTACAGATGAGAAAACTGAGGCATGGAGCAGCAAAGGGCCTTGTCCAACAGTGCACAGTTATCTAGCAGCTGGGTGTCCTGTCTCTCCTGGCCTTGAGCATGCTACCCTAGAAAACATAAGCCACCTGCTTTCTGTTACATTTGGTTTCTCCTGCTATCTGGAAGTTCTTATGTCTCAGCTGCCTGCTCTCAAACTCTGGTTCCAGGGCGCCCTCAGAAACTGGGGCATCCAGTGCGTACAGGTATCCAAAGAGAGGAGAGGCACAGGGAAGTCTGTAAGGCCAAAGACTGAGGAAGGATGAAGGTCCTCACAGAAGTGAAGGTCAATCACTTGGCCATTTCTGTAGCAAAAAGTCCCTGCAAGGAGGAAAAAACCCAACTGGTTTTCCAGATGCCTTCTTAAACTAAATAAAGGAAGGATACCCCCAAACACACTGGACTTCAGAAAACCTCATTAGCCATCAATCAAATGTACATCCTAATGCAGAATCTAATTACTTTACAGTTGCCCATTCTTCCCCCTATGTCATGCAGAAAAAAAGAAACAAGGAAATACTCCAGAATCTGCAGTAACACTTGACCAGATCTCCATCTGCATCCTTGCAGAAATCATCTTACTGCTGTCCTAACTGGCACAGGGAACAAGGACTCCACAGGTTTTCCTCTCTGCTAGAGCCTCACTTGGCAATGACCTGCTTTCTAATCACTGCCAGACCCCGAATGCAAAGCTGTCTTCAGCCCTGATTCCATTGGCCTGGAAATGGGAGACTACCAAGGTGTGCTTGGTTGTGCTACAAAATGATACCCCTCCAAAATAAAGCCTTCCCATGGCACCCTCAATGATGACTTTTTCAACACTCTAAATGCATCTTGTAAGAAAAGGACCACAAAACAGGACAAGAAGGTATTTTTGGATGCTAATCACCAGTTCCTAAGAGCCAAGGGTGTTTCTCTCTCCTGATTCCTAAACAAAAGTGGAAAAACTATGATGTCCAGATCTGTGTATTGTGTTCACAAATAATCAAGATGGCCTGACACAGAAATGCCCTCCTGGAACAAAGGAGGAAATCGCATTAGAGGGAAGCTAAAGCCACAGACCCTGGGATTAAACCACAGAAAGCGGACTCCCAGGAGCCAGCCAGGCTCAGCAGCAAACATTCAGAAGAAAACTTGCTGGAGTGAAAACAGGCAGAGGTTCCACAGAGAGCAGCCTCAAATTACAGGCATGGAAGGGCACACCCAAGGGTACCAGAGTCCTGGGCATGTCAGAAGCACCCCAAACATAGCGGAGAGTCAGGCCAGACATGGAAGGGGTGAGCAACCCTATCTTCTTTCCTGGCTGTTCCTCAAACTTCCCCCAATTCTTCCCTCGTTCTCCCAAACACCTCCCAGGGTAATTGAGCTGAAAGTAAAAGATGACAAAAAGGTGTGATCACCTGAGAGTTACATGGATGAAAAACAACTGGGGCAAACCTCAACCAATCGCTGGGAAGCCCCTTTCCACAGCCAGAACCCCTCCCCAGCTCAGCCTTGACAACCGGGCCTTCTTTGTGAAAGGGGGAACCCAACCAACAAAAGGAGATGGGAGAGCTTCAAAGCAGGGAGACAACCCCTTTTACCTCCCTCCGTCTCTGGCGTCCCCGTCATTTTTGATCGGAGAGGGAAACCCAAAGCACGAAGGATCCCTCTTTTCGACCCCGTCCCCCAGGTTCTGGCCCCTCAACTTTACCCCCCAAACCCCGGACCTGGGCACATGCAAATCTCCTCCCCTCTTTACCGCACCCCGGCAAGCCTGCTTCCCAAGAACTGAGTCACCCAAGTTTTTTTCATCAGCTGCACTCCCGAAGGGGCCGTCCCCGGGAGAGCCGGGGAACGTGGCGCTCGGGTAGGTAGCCGGTGCCCAGGGGCTGCGGGCCCGCCCGCCCAGGCTGGCGCTTCCCCCGGCGCCGGCCTCCCAGCCTTCCTGACGGCCTCCCTCCCCGGCCCCACGCGGCCCGGGCGGCCACGGAGCACGTACCCAGAAGGGGTCGGAGCCATCCGCGCTGCAGAAGCCCCGGAGCGCCATACGGCGGGCTCAGGCTCCGACGAGCACCGGCAGGCTTGGGGCGGCTGGGCGGCGGGCGGACAGGCCCGGCTGCTGGCGGCGGCGGCGGCAGTGGCAGTGAGGGCGGGAGGCAGCGAAGAGGGGGCCCGGGGCCGCAACGCCATCTGATTGGCCGGCAAGTCACGGGGATGCAGCGGAACCGCCCCGCCCAGGCGCCCGGCTCCTCTAGCAGATTCTCGGCTTGCGCCCCGCGCGGAGGTGGGACCTGCGATCGCCCGTAAGCGCCACGTGCCTGGAGACCGCGTTGGCAGTCCGCCTTATCCCTGATCCCGGCGCCCAATTCCACCCCTATGGGTCCCAGGAGGGTGTTCTAACCCTCCAGAAGCTGCCGGGATCTTTGCGTCCAGACCAGTCAACCAATTTTCAAATCCTACTGTAACAACGACGACGATCGCAGCAACAGTAATAACAAACGGGAGAATATAACGTGCCCTCGGCCCTCTATGAGCCTGGAGCACGCCAAACACAAGCTGCGTCCTTACTGGATCCTCTGACTTCGCTTTCATGAAGGAAGAAAGCAAGGGGCAGGCAGGTTGGGTGGCTTTTCCGGGGTCACAGGCTAACCTAGCAGCTGACTCCAGAGCTGACACAGAAACGTAGGAGGTGATACCCTTACTAATCTGTGAGAGAAACAAGCTCAGAGAGGGGAAGTGATTTGCCCAAGGTCACACAGCTGCCAAGTGTGAAAGAGGTATTCAAATCCATGACCAGTCTGATTCCAGAGCACTCATGGCAGGAGGGTTCCAATCGCCACCCCAATCAGCTATTGTCCCCACATGAGTGCAAGGGACCTTGGCATTTTCTTGACCCTCTTTGAACAACCCTCAGGAAATAACCAGGTTATTGATCCTCACTTTAAAGGTAAAGAAACTGAGGCCTACACACATAGTAATAATTACCAAGCATTCACAGTCATGATGGGGCTTCCTTCCTAAGGCTGTGTTCTCAACAATGAACATGAGTTAACCTTAATGGTCACAACAACTCCATGAGGTAAATCATTTTATTATCCCCATTTTGAAGATGAGGAGACAAGCTCAGCAAGGAAAGGTAATTTGTCAGGATATGTAGACAGGATGTGGCTAAACAGACTTTGGACCCAGGCAGGCTAATTAGGAAGGAAGGAATCTATAATGCTAACCATTCTGCCATATTGCCTCAGAACTGTTTAATGCACAGGCAGCCAGTGGCAGCGGAGCTAGGGCTGGAGCCAGGGAGTCTAGGCTTTCACTGTGACACCAGCAATGCCTTTCTTCCCTCCTCTCGTCCTTAATCCCTTGACTAATGAGCAGTTTCCATTACATACACACACATGCACACACACACACACAAACACACACCAGCTGCACCAACTAAAACAGGAATAGTGACTGAATTTGAGACCCCCCCCCCAAGCAAAGGGCCTAGTGAGGGAGGGAGGAGGGGGAATTGTTTTCTATGATTTTTTTACTGGCTCAGGTTCCCCTCAGGGTGAGTTTTTAAGGGTTAATTAATTTCAGGTGATAGTGTTCCATGTACTATTGCCTTAACATTTATACATTCAACAAACACTTATTAAGCATCTACTAGATGTCAGATCTTACTAGGAACAACATTAAATTGCTGCTCTTATGGAGCTTAAAGAGTTGGGGTTTCTTCGGTGGGGGGGTTAAAGAGTTGGGGTTTCTTGCGGAGGAGAGATTAATGCCTTTTTATGGTAGGGAACAGGTTAATCTAATGATCACATAAAGAAAGGGGTATTTACAGCTATGATACAAGCTAGGTGGAACAAGTTGGAGTAAGAGGGCCTAAAAGGGTCCTAGACAGCTGGTGATGAAAGTCAGGGAAGGTTTCCTGGAGGACAGAGTTTTTGAGCTGAGATACAAGTGATGAGTATGATTTCGTGAGGCCAGGCTGAAGAAAGCAGCTTTTGGAAAAATAATGAACCTGGACAGACCAGGTCCTCGAGGGAATCTGAAGACAGTCTGGGTGACAGGAATCCAGAGAGAGAATCAGAAGGGATCAGGAAGGGCCAAAGCACACAGGATCTTGTTAGTCAAGGGTGGGATTTCAGTTTGGCTGCAAGAGCAATGGGAAGGCCACTGGTGGGTTCTAAGTAAGGCATGAGACAGAATTACAAAATCCAAACATAATTGATTCACCCTTTTAAAAGATATTTATTGAGCAAGCATATAAAAAGGTGCTCAACATCATTAGTCATAAGGACAATGCAAATAAAACCCGCATGAAATACCATCACACACCCATCAGAATGACTGAAACAAAATGCCAAATGTTGGCCAAGATGAGGAATGACTAAAACTCACACACTCTGTCGGTGGAAGTGTAGACTGGTTCAAGCGCTTTGGAGTCTGGCAATCTCTACTGAGAATAAACATCCCACTACACAGTGACACAGCAATTCCACTCCTATCCAAGAGAAAGGCATGCTTATATCCATCAAACGACATCTACAAAAAATGTTCAGAACAGCTATACTCAAAATAGCCAAAACTAGAAGCAACCTAAACACCCATCGATAGTCAAAATGATAAATAAAGTGTCACATAATGACACGGATTACTACGCAGCAATTTTTAAAAGGATCAAATTATTAGCACATGGAACAACAATACAGATGTATCCCATAAAACATCATATGGAACAAAAGAAGCCAGACACAAGAGTGCATTTTCCATAAACCCATTTAAATGAAGTTCAAGAACAAGCAATAGTAACAGATGCTGATTAAAGTCAGAATAATGGTGACTTTAGGGGGTACGATTAGGAAGGGGTGCAAGAGAGCCTGCCACAGACCTAGAAATGTTCTATACCTTGATCTGGTGGTAGTTACATGGTTCTTACACACACACACACACACACACACACACACACACACATATACTTTAAAATTCATTGAGCTGGGTGCTTAAGGTTGCTGTACTTTACAAAAGTTATACCTTATATTAAAATTTAAAATAGAGCCGTAGCTGGTGTGGCTCACTGGACTGAGTGCTGGCCTGTGAACCAAAGGTTCCCCATTTGTTTCCCAGTCAGGGCACATGCCTGGGTTGTGGGCCAGATCCCCAGTAGGGGTCTGTTACATTTCTTTCTGGAAAATAAAAGACACATTTTTTCTTTCTCACCAAGAACTATTGATTTGGATATTTTCAGTATGTTGACTATCTTCCACTAGTGGATTCTAGTGGGTACAGGTCAGGGGTGCTGCTAAACATCTTCCAATGCATAAGACGCTTCCACAGCAAAGAATTATTTGGCCAAAATGTGAATAGTACCAAGAAACTTCACAGACCACTTTTGACAAGTTAAATCACCTTCACAGCACCTTCTCCATACAATGCACAAATCTTTTTTGGCATTTCAGTTGCATTTTTACCTTTCTTGAAATAATAAACCATAACACACTGAAAATGTTGCGTATTTTCTTCCATCTTCAATATTAAAATGGCTGCACAAAATTCACCAATTTTGATAAGCTTTTTAAAAATGGACACTGAGAAGGACAACTCTGGTCAAGACAGCAGCATAGGTAAACACAGCTCACCTCCTCACACAACCACACCAAAATTACGACTAAAATATAGACCAGCCATTACTAAGAACTATCAGAAAGAGAGTTTGATGGAAGCCTGACAACTATGGAACTAAAGAAACCACATCCATCCAGACTAGTAGGAGGGGTGGAGACATGGAATGGGCTGGTCCCATATCCACATGTGGTGGATAAAAATTCAGGAGGGATATCTCATGAGCAAGGAGTCCCTTTCCCATACCAGGCCCCCTAGCCCAGGGTTCCAGTGCCAGGCAGATAAGTCCCCATAACTTCTGGCTGCAAAAACCAGCAGAGATTGAGTCAGTGGAAGAAACTCCGGAGTCCCAAGCAGTTCACCCTAAAGAATCCACATACAAACTAATTCAGGTATACTCCCTCTGAGTTCTAGCACCACTAGGGTAGCAGCTTAAAGGCACCAGTGGCACACAGGGAGAAACTGAAGTGTCTGGCATCGAGGCGAGAGCTGAGGGACAGTTTTCTCCCAAACAGAAAAGCGGGTAGAGGCCATTGCCACTTTTCTGAGCTCTCCCCACATGGAGCCATAGAGCCAGCAGGTGGGTGCCATATCTGAGACTCCATCAACTTGGCTAATACTGTTTGCCCTACCCTGGAGATCCTCTGAGACTTCCATCTCACCCAACTTGGGAGCCCATCCAAACTATTAACCATGATTTTTCCATATGAATGGCTGAACTTGGCTCATGCTGCACAACTTCCTAAATCCTATCAAACAAGCAACAGTTAAGTGGCCCCAGACCTAGCACTAGCAGCATCCAGACTAGGTTCACAGCTTGGCTTCCCCTGGTAACCTCCAAGCCCAGCACAAGTAGCAGCCATCTCAGATGCTTTATAGCTCATGCAGAGTGGCCCTGGACAGAGCACAGGTGGGGGCTGACTTTGGCCTGCACCACCCAGAGAAACCTCACAGCCTGCACAACCAGTGGACAACTACAGATCACATTGGAGCACCAACACCCTGCACCAACACCCTGCACCTACGCAGCTGATCCTCCACAGAGAGAGGAGGTTGGTGGTCTATGGTCACAGCCAATTCTTGCAGCTGACTGTCCTGGGTAAATCCCTCCCATTGACCTTCTAACAACAATCAAGGCTCAACCACAAGAGGAGGGTGTACTCAGCCCACACGAAGGGTGCACCTCAAGTACCCAGCTCAGGTGATAGGGGAGGCTGTGTCACTGGACCCTACAGGACACCTACATTAGGCCACACTACCAAGACATGGAGTTATAGCAGCTCTACCTAATGCATAGAAACAAACACAGGGAGGCTGCCAAAATGAAGAAACAAAGAAAAATGACCCAAATGAAAGAACAGATTAAAACTCCAGAAAAAGAAATAAACAAAATGGAGATAAGCAATCGATCAGATGCAGAGTTCAAAACACTGGTTATTAGGATGCTCAAGGAACTTAGTGAGGTCCTCACTAAGCATAAAAAAGATCCAGTCAGAAATTAAGGTAACACTAATTGAAATAAA